TGCCGGGTTACGGAGTACGACTGGGGAGTGGATAACTGATGAGGGTGGGAAAGCTGATATTGCCACTGGTTTTTACCAGTCCCTCTTCTCTTCAGAGAATCAAGTGCCTAATATGGTTGCTCGTGTGGCTGAGCTTCAAATTGATCGTCGTGTTACTGCGGATATGAATGCATGCCTTACGGCAGTAGTTTTGCCTGGGGAAGTGAGAAAGAGAGTTTTTTCCATGGGTTCGAAGCAAGCAGCGGGATCGAATGGCTTCACTGGAAAATTCTTTAAATCCTTCTGGGATATTGTCGGTGATTCTGTCAGTAAGGCCGTTTGCTCTTTTTTTGAAACTGGCAGAATGTTACGGAGCTTCAACCATACTTGGTTGGCTCTTATCCCGAAGGTTGATAATGTAGAAGACATGAAGCAACTCCGCCCGATTAGCTTGTGTCAGTTTGTCTATAAGATCATAACTAAGATCATGTCGGGAAGATTGGCGGGTCTGCTGCCGCAGATCGTCTCAGAGGGCAGAATGCTTTTATTCGAGATAGACAGATTGTGGAAAATGTCCTTATGGGGCATGAGTTAATGCACTATTTGAAGATCAAAACGCGAGGTAAGAAAGGGTACATGGCTCTAAAGGTTGACATGGAAAAGACCTATGATAGAGTTGAATGGCCGTTTCTACTTGTGATTTTGGATAAACTAGGTTTTAACTCAACCTGGTGTGGGTGGGTCCATGAGTGTCTCCGATCGACGTCATTTTCAGTCATGATGAATGGCACCCCGAAGGGATTTTTCACTTCTTCTAGGGGACTTCGACAGGGGGATCCGCTATCTCCCCTGCTGTTTGTGCTTTGCACAGAGGGGTTTGCAGCGCTCCTCCGTAAGGCTATCTCGAAGAAAAAACTGGGAGGGATTAAAGTTGCTCCCCGGGCTCCTCGCAACTCGCATTTATTTTTCGCTGATGATTCATACTTATTCCTTAGGGGATCTTTGCAGGAATGCGAAAATTTGATTACAGTACTAAATGAGTATGAGGAGCTTAGTGGGCAGCGGGTAAATTTAGCCAAGTCGGCGGTATGCTTTAGTAAAAATATCGTCGGTCTGGATCAGGAATTCTTGGCCCAAATCCTTGGTGTGGGTGCGGTAGGGGTCCAGGAAAAATACTTAGGCTTACCTACCCTGGTGTCCCGATCCAAGATGGATACTTTTCGTTATTTAGAGGAAAAGCTGCTTGCTCGCCTTCAGGGTTGGAAACAGAAGACCCTTTCTTGGGCTGCAAAGGAAACTCTGATCAAATCTGTCGCCATGGCATTACCTATTCATGTAATGTCCTTTTTTCGCCTTCCCCTTTCGCTCTGTCGACTTCTAGACAAACATATTGCCAGGTTCTGGTGGGGTGTGGAAAATGGGCAGTCTAAGATTAGGTGGATGTCCTGGCGTAATATGTGTAGGAGCAAGCATGATGGAGGGATGGGGTTCCGTCGGTTTGAGTTTTTTAATCAGGCACTTCTGGCAAAGATCGGCTGGCGAATCCTTAATGAACCTAATTCCCTCCTTGCCCAAGTTTACAAGGGGAAATATTTCCCGAAAGGTAGCTTCCTGGCCGCTACACCTCGGTCTTGTCCTTCTTGGGGTTGGCAAAGTATCCTGTTTGGTAGGCAACTTTTGCAAAAGGGCCTTAGATGGCAGATTGGGAATGGCCAATCGGCCCCACTGCTTCATTCGAATTTGGTACCTAGGCTTCACCCGGAGGCTCCTGTGTTTAATCCCCAGATTGTGCCTGCTGGTGATCCACTAGTAGTGGCTGAGGTGATGTGCACAGGGGACGGAGGTTGGTGTGAGGAGAAGCTGAGCCAGTGGTTTGACCCTCCTACTTGTCGGGCTATTCAAGAAATCCCTCTTCCTCGTCATGATATAAAGGATCGCCTTGTTTGGCATGAGACGGTGGATGGGATATTTACAGTGAAATCTGCTTATCATTTGGCAGTTTTACTTGATAAGAAGGGGGGCAGGTGGCAATCGCAAGTGAGCTGGATGGATAAGCCTAGTTGGATCCGTCTCTGGTCCGCTCCAATTCCGCCTAAGTTGCGGGTCTTCCTATGGCAAATCTGTAATCGGCTACTGCCTACAACGGAAGCCCTAATTGAGAGAGATATCCCGGTACAGCCTCGCTGTCTGGTATGTTGGGCTGTGTCTGAGACCATGGAACACTTGTTCCTGGACTGTCCGGTGGCGAGAGCTTTGTGGGATTGCTCGGGATTGGAATACCTTGGTCAGGGACTCCCCAGACATACGTTTCCCCTCTTCCTAAAGAGGTTAATGCTGCTCCTCCATCAACCTCAGCTGTTTATGGCAGTTGTGGCAATTCTGTGGAGGATCTGGCGGTCCCGTAATTGGGTTGTCTTTGAAGGCAAGCAGTTCGGGATCCCTGCTCTCATGCGGCAGTTTAACCAACAATACCAGGAGTGGGTCGATTTGCCAATTGATAGGGTCCAGCGTTTCCCTGCCCTGGTTGCAAATCCGGTGGATGAGGAGGACTTTGCCCCGCTACTTGTTTGTCAATGGGATGGGGCTGTCAAGTATGGGTCCCATGCGGCTGGGGGAATGGTGGTTAGGAACCAGACTGGGGCAATTCTTCTGACTCACAGTTTTCAGTTTGAGGGGGTGGTTGACCCAATGGCGGCGGATGCTCTGTCCCTTCGTGAGGCTGTTCTACTGTGCCAGAGAGTGGGCTTTACTGGGGTGCAATTCGAAGGGGATGCCAAGGTGATTATTGAGAAGCTCCGACAGTCTGAAGCCAGGGATAGTAGGGTTGGGGCCCTCCTGGAGGAGATTATGCAGTGCTTGTTGAGCTCTCCTGGTTCCAGTGTGCGGTTTGTAGGTCGGCGTAGTAACAGGGTAGCCCATTTGGTGGCTAGAAAGGCCCTTCTTTTGTACCCGACTGCGTGTCGCTTTTTTGATTTTTTGGCCTGGCTAAATTCCAGGATGTAACTATCGCTTCTTTGATCAATATATGATTATCTTTTGTCAAAAAAAAAAAATATAACAATGAGCTTATGATAAAACTGAAAATAAAGAAGTTTTAGCTAAATAACAATGATCTTATGATAAATTTGGATGAAGGAGATAAAAACTGATTGTGAACAGTACTTGTTACAAAAAAGGGTAACAAATAAAATATTGTTCCTATTTTTTAGTAATGATCCGTAAAAATACTTGTGATTTTAGTTATATAATAATTGGGTGTTACATGTAATTTCTAGCCCTTTATTTCTTATTATATACTTTTGATAAAAATCCATACAATATACAACTCTTTTTTTGTTACATGTAAAAGAGTTGTATATTGTATGAATTTTTTTTATCTATAAATAGAGCTGACATTGTACCACTAATATACATGAATAAAGTGAATTCTTTCTCCCCTCTTTCGTTTTATCTTTCCTCTTTATACTTTGCTCATATAGTTGTTCATCTTACACACATTTTTTTACACTTTATCAACATGAAATTCTGCCAAAAGCTCTACTAAAAGGTTTGTTTGTTAAAGTCCTCCAATTACAAAATATATAAGTAAAATTTACCAAGTCATAAAAAAGTATATAATTTATAATGAATAATCTTACATGTTTAATTTTTTGTGAGATTATTTGATCATTATATTATCTATTGAATGTTATTCTAGAATCTAATATCTCAGTTATGCTTTGTGACTTTCTAGGACTGGTAGCTTTCTTTCATTTTTGCATTGTGGTTGTGTTGTCTATATAGCTCTCGCCTATTTGAAATTTTTTTTGTTTGTTTACTTTTGTGTATGAGTTGTATTTTATGGACCTGTGTTGTTGAGTTCCTAACATGATTATTGTTTGTATTTTCTCAAATAGAATTCACTCTTACTTTTTCAAGTGATAGTAAAATAGCCAATTTTTTTTAGAACAAACAACTTGTAACAAATCTTTCAATTGATGAATTCTTTGACTTCTATATGTAATCAGAAAGCGCAGGAGAAAAACTAGGGATTTGAAACTGGAAGTTTAGAGAAGAAGGGGAAATGAGAAGAAGAAGAAGAAGAACGAAATGAAGAAACTCATAATGTTTCTTCCTTCTCGATCGAGTTCTCCCCTTCAGTCTGGGCCCGAGTTTCACTAAGCCCACTAACTGAAGTAAAAAGAAATTAAATAGAAATGAGCTTGACAACAATTGGCCCAGGAAATAAAACAAAGAATACGACTTGAGCCTGTCTTCTTCCTCGGATCAGCACCCTTGGAAAACAGTCTCTGTTTTTTTTTTTTACGAAAATAGAGCAGCTGGAGAAAGATCAAAGAACTAAGGAAGACACAGCAGAAAGATAAAGAGAAAATGCGAGATTTAACGAGGTTCCCTACTACGGGTCATTCCTCGTCCTAGACTCAGTACCCACTGAGATCTAAGAGACTCTTTTTTTATTGATTTTTCCTATAAAAGCAGAATTGAAATGAAACAATTACAGACTCAAGATAAACAAGAGACGAACAAGTAATTGAAACCCAGATCCCAAATCCCAGACCTGGTACACCGCCAATTCAACAGAACCTATTCCTCCGTTAGAATCAGCCCACTTTGTCCTCGAGCCCTATACCGCTCTTGACACCAGTTCCTTGCTTGATTGCTCTGCACGCTTTATATAGCCAGCAAGAATATGACTATTTTCTTCAAACGTTCTGCCAAGCCACAGAAGGAAGGTTTCAGCTGGCAGCCTTCTTTTTAAGGACAACTCTGATTTGTAAACTATTTTCAACAATCTCCTCTTAAATCAGAGATTGCCGAATGCTTGCAAAACAATATACCTTTGATCTCGACCACATAAGTTAGAATACTTTAAGATAATCAAACTGAGATCAAAATCAGGGGACAAAATAGTCACAGATAGTCCGAAAGATCAACCCCTCAAAAGATAATCCAACAATCAACAGTAAACGTTCAAACAAAAGAGCAAACATCCAAAACAAAGAAGTTCAAGATGGGGACAACTAAAGCACACAAAATACGAACAACTCTTCAAGGAAGCTCCCCTTCAGCATCATAAGCTCCCCTTTAGCATCATCCACGTCTTCAGGTCCATACTCCATCAAGGCCTGGAGAGATTCTACAAACGGCTCGAGAAGCGGGTCATTGTCACCATCATTGTCATCACTGTCGCTGTTGCTGTTGCTGCTAATCCACACAACACCACCATCCTCACCTTCATTCGGAATCTCAAGAGCATCCATAGCGTCATGAGAAGTGGGGAACATGGAGGGAGTAATAGAGTGAAAGGGAGAGAGATCCACAAGAATGCTGAGCAGCAAGTTGGTGATAAGAGGACCGAACGGCAGAGTAGCAGTGAGAGCGACGTCACTGTAACGAAAGAGGGTGTCAAACACCAGATGAGAATAGTCAAGCGGGACGCCCTCAACAACATGAGCAATGATCCAAGGAATTCGCTCATAATCAAGCTTCCTTCATTTGGGAGCATGCTAAAAGCTTCATATTCATGAACAAGTAAATCAATTCGAGATTCTCTTATGTTAGAAGTACCTTCATAGGTGCTTTCTAGTGCAAGCCAAATTTCCCTTGTAGTCTCACAGTTTTCAACTTGATTGGCTTCATCTGGCAACATCGTCGACTAAAGGAGATGCATAGCGCGCTGATTCAATTGAGCACTATTTTTCTGAGCTGCAGACCAAGTGTTCTGCTCTTCAGTAACCATGTCAACCGGACCATTTTAAACTATCAGCCATAGTTCTTCATCAATTCCCCACATAAATTGCTTAATCCATTTTCTTCAACGCGGTATAATTAGAACCGGTGAAGATTGGGGGATGGTTGAGAACCGCTTGACCAAAGGAAGAGGATGCCATTGGATCAAAAACTTGGCAGTAATTAGCTTCATCAAGGGCAGGCTCTATATACAAATTGTAATCAGAAAGCGTAAACTAGGGATTGGAAACTTGACGCTCAGAGAAGAAGGGGAAATGAGAAGAAGAACGAAATGAAGAAACTCAGATGTTTCTTCCTTCTCGATCGGGTTCTCCACTTCAGTCTGGGCCCGAGTTTCACTAAGCCCACTAATTGAAGTAAAAAGAAATGAAATAGAAATGGGCTTGACAACGATTGGCCCAGAAAACCTGAGCCTATCTTCTTCCTCGGATCAACACCCTTGGAAAACATAGTCTCTGGTTTTTCTTACAAAAACATAGCAGCAGGAGAAAGATCAAAGAACTAAGGAAGTTACAGCAGAAAGATAAAGAGACAAGACGAGATTTAACGAGGTTCCCAACTACTGGTCATTCCTCGTCCTAGACTCAGTACCCACTGAGATCTAGGAGACTCTTTTTTATTGATTTTTCCTATCAAGCATAATTGAAATGAAACAATTACAGACTCAAGATAAACAAGAGACGAACAAGTAATTGAAACCCATATCCCAAATCCCAGACCTGTTACACCGCCAATTCAACAGAACCTATTCCTCTGTTAGAATCAGCCTACTTTGCCCTCAAGCCCTATACCGTTCTTAACACCAGTTCCTTGCTTGATTGCTCTGCATGCTTTATATAGCCAACAAGATTATGACCGTTGTCTTCAAACGTTCTGCCAAGCCATAGAAGGAAGGTTTCAGCTGGCAGCCTTCTTTTTAAGGACAACTCTGATTTGGAAACTATTTTCAACACTATATTGATGTCCACGTGAATTCTCGTTTTTACATCTCGGTATGGGATGGTCAAGTCAGACTTGTCAAACTACCAAGTTATCTCCTATTGTAAACTTATGTTTATACTTTCATGTGTAATGACTAATGGTAGTACTAATATCCATGTAGTAAATATTTGTGAGGCAAATATAGCTTAACAAATTGTTTAGTTTCTTCATTTCACAAAAGATTAGTCCGTTTAGAGCTTTTACATATTTGTGTACTATTAAAACATATTCCTTAGTGATAGGATTATCATCACACTATTTGTTATCATCATTGCATAATTTAGTTGCTTCAAGTAACTAAAACGCCTTTTACTTATTATTGTACTATATAGTACTCTAGCAAATATTTATGCTTAACGAAAACATATTAGATATAATAAATGAGAATATATTCAAATAAGAGAGGAATGATGATGTTATCAAATTAATTTGTGTATTAATAAAATTAAAGAAATTGTTTGTTTCGAGCCAAGATTTAAATTTGTAAGCTTGATTTATACAACATTGATGACTCCAATTCGAGCCAAGAATAACTCGAATTGGCAAAGTAGTATAGCGGTGACTGAGATCGTATTCCAAGTACTCATTAGGCTTACTATTACTTTGCTCCGAGATACTATCTAATCAAAATAGAAAAGTTGGTTTAAGAACTAACCTAACCTATGGCAGTTCGACGTTGCCTAGGATCGAATCCTCCTAGTAGTACATTAAGTAGTCGATTGAATTATTTAAGTTTGACGTGCGGAGGTCACCTGGGTTGGAACCAGTAAATAGGTCATGCTGCCCGATTCCCCTCCTAGCGAAGTCCACCGGTTCATTGTTAGCTCAACCAATCTTTCAAACTATGGGTAAAATCTACCTCTTCTAAATGGATTTCACCCATCTACGTCGATGGTCACACACCTACCTTCCTAGTATCAACTAGGTGGGCTCCTAATTGACAAGGGATCGTCACCTCGTAACCAATTAGGACCCTAAATCATATAACCTAAGAAAGATGCACTAAACCATACATACACAAGAACTACCTAGGACTAATCAAGCAACATACAAATTCATGCATCTAAACCACAATTAGAAGTATTAAACTCAAATCATACCATAGATATCATTTCATTAACAAACCCTAGCTACATACTAGGATTCATATGCTCTAAACCATAGGATTTTAAGTCATAGGGAAAGAGAAGAAATACGAACAAATAAAAGGTACTTAAAGCCATCTTCTTCTCGTTGGGTGTAACCCCCCTCCTTGAGCTCCTCCAAGGACGTTTCTCTCTATAAAATTGTCCTAAAAGCCCTAATTTCTCATTCTAAGTTAGCTATCCTAAGAAATTTGGGTCTTTATGTATTTATAGGCAGCCAGGAATACAAGCAAGTTTGCGGCCTCCTGCTGGAGATCACGCCCGCGAACATCTTCCTCATCCCGTGATCTTGAAACGTGTCTGATTTGGTTAGCACTAAAGGTGAGTTCATGGGATGGTGTTCACACCCGCGAACTTAGTCGCGGGCTCGTATGTGAACAACCGCGAGACAGGCCGCGAGACCTTCTGTATCTTCATTGTTTGCAACCTCCTCGGAATTGCGGCGTGGATGTTGAATTCACGGTCGTAAACTTCTTCTCGGACCCTGATTTCTTCATAGTCTATGGGATCTCGACTGTGAACTTTGCTCCTCAGCTGCAACTCTATTTTTGCCTCTTTTCATCCTCTTTGCCTACGCCTGAGCCCTCTTTTTTTGTCCTTTATGCTTATATCATCAAATGCAACCTAAAAAGACATAGATTGATGCGATGAAGCATTATAAGCTATAAATGAAGTTTAATCTACCCAATCACGCTTAAAATTATATGAAAAACCTAGGAATGGAGTCTAAATAACACCAATTTAGGTGTTATCAAATTCTTACACAATTAGGCATTAGCTTGGCCCCAAGAAAACACATGACTAAATCGTACAACTCGAGGAATCTAATCCCTCCCCTCGATTTGTTTCCTCGGAGATGGATCAGTTGAGTATAGAGATGCTTAGGTTTTTATGGAAATGTTCAACTTTATATGAGGAGTCTTGTCAAAGGTTATTTAAAGTGACAGGAGACCGATACAGGGCATGTTATCGCCATAGTTAGTAAAATACGATATGGAAAAGTTATGTATAAAATATGTACGAGTATTTTACTTCGTCTCTAACCTAATGTTATGTTTAATAGTACGATAATAGTCATAAATATATAAAATTAATTATTTTAAAAATAAATAAATCATATTAAAGTTAATAGTTTAATACATTAAATACGCATATTAAACGTGTTATACGGGCTTTATACGTGTTTAGTACGAGAGCCATCAAATGAACGGAAAGAAATGAAATGACTTGGCAATAATATGAATACAAAAGTTTTAAACGGATAAAATACATACGTTTACTTATACGTAAGTTTTAAACGGATAAAATGTGATACCAACTCATAGGTGTAGGCAGAGGGTTAGTCGCTGTAACGGTTCTTTTTTCCACTTTCTCCTCAACCTTTATTCTCTTTTTGGTTTTTCTTTGGGGTTGTAATAAATTTGAAATTTTCGAATTTGTCTCAAACCGGGCAAGTAGGGGAGTCGCTGTTAGAGATCTTTCCACCTCCCTATACCTCAACATATTTGGAGGGGCCATGACATGATAATGACCGACCTTCGAACAGTAGCTAGCCAAAAGTAAGTGGGGTCCCCATGTTAATCACCCTCTAATGGAAACCTTTCGGGAGTAGCCGTGTTTTTGTCATTACCACTAAAGATATTCGATTAAAAATATTTGATCGATACCTCACACATAGACCGTTTAAGAACGAGCTACAACCGCCTTTGTTTTTTCTTCAAAATGTGGGAGAAAGCAAAGAACCAAGCAACTCTCGAAAAACCTACATACTTGAATCAGGATTTTTGCTCATGCAACCTATCAATCCAAATCCTTTTCAATAAAAAAATATGTTTCACATTCATAACATAGGGGAGTAATCATCAATTAGGCATCATTCATGAACAAAATAAGCATGTAATGCCCATTCCCCCAACACTTAATGGACACATTGTCCTCAATGTGGGATTCCTAGGTAGGTTACTTGATGTCAATTTATTTTTGTCACTACGATATTTCATACATTTCCCCCTTCCACTACACAAATGACAGACAGAAGTGACGAAATCCTTCTGACGACATTGTTTTTAGGTTGGAAATAACCGTGTTTGCAACAGAAATTTATCATCCTCATAAAAACGTAACATTTTTGTGACGAACATCAAAAGTCGTCAATAATGTCCAGATCATTCGTCACTAAAAGTCAATTTCGCAAATACGAGGAACGACGACTCACTTTTACTGAGGATATTTCAACTTTTGTCACAATTACAAATTATTTATGACCAAATTGAACTAGACGTCATAAATAATATGTTTTTCTGACGCCGAAAAGGAGGGGAAAATTCCTGAATTTTATTTTTGAAGAAACTAATTTTTCCTCAGAAAATGTTGTTGGAAATAGTATTATTTGTTAGGAATTTCCCTAT